CTGAGATATTAATTATATTTCTAATAAAATTTAAGCAAATATTATTCCTTTTGAAAATAAGCTTTGGTTTTCTTATTAAATACTTGAAATTCTTAGTCTAAATCCAAAAAATGAATCTTTCTTTTAATATTTCTATAATTATATAGTTCTTATTAAATAATAATAATGAATTTCCTATAAATAAAGATTTCACTACCTATTTAATTAATTTTAGTGATCTTCTCTTTATTATTCTAATATTGATACGATTTCTTAATCAACTGTAAATTATCCTTATTTAATGATAATCTTATTAATTTCAACAATCAGATAACTTAAATAATTATTCTTTCAAGTTATCCAATTATTTTGATGATTCTTCATATTTTATTTTGACTTATCCAAAGGATTCATTCAATTAATTTGTTAATTCACACATATACTAATTGAATTTGGTGATAAAACTTTAAATTTAACCAAATCCTTTTAAATCTTTCTTAAAATTAGTATGTTTCACAGGATCAATCGTTGCATTTTTAAGACAAAACTAAGATCTTTAATCTTAGCAACTCAAATTTAAACAACAACCTTTAATATCTTCCCCTTCATGTTCCATTTTTTAACACATAAAAAATTTCTTTTAAATCATTAATTAAATTTATTTAATAAATTGATTTTTAAATTCAAGCCGCTAATATGAAAAAAACTCAGATGATAACTAAAATATGCTGAAAAAGTATTTAACAATATAAATGATATTATGCAAATTAAAAAAAATATCTAATTTTATAAATATGTTATTATTATAGAAACCATTATAATTTTAAGAATATTATAGCATAAGTATTATCAAATAAATGAGATGAATAATCCTTAATAATTTTATCAATAGCTAATATAAAAATTATAAAATAATCTAAAATATACCTATACATGCAGATGCATCTCGAACATTAATCATTAGATAGACAATATTGTTAAATGTTTTATTCTTGTTATCCAAAATAACAGATAGAAAATTAATTTAATTTTGAACCTCTTATTTATATATAACTTCAAATAAATATCTAAGCCATTCACATAGAATTGACATAAATATTTTATGAATGGGCTATTAGGCTTTTTAAGCAGGAAATTATCACAATTTAGATTTGCTCTTGCATCTTTTGGAAATCTTTATCAATTAATTGCCATTGTATAAGTAGCTACATTGAATTTATTATTAATTTGATTTTATATAAGCTAAAAGGAATTGATAATTAATAGATTAAATATTGGATAAGTATAATATAAGATGAATTTAAATTGTAAATTAATAATTTTAAAAATCAATAAATTATAAAATTACCAAATTAGTTTATTAGAATTATATAAAAAATATTACGAACTATAATATTATGAATAAAATACTTTATTTTATTAAATTTCAATCAATATTATTAAATTAGTTAACTAATTTCAGATAAAATTTAATAGAAATCAATTTTATAACATTATAAATATTACTTTGATAAATTTTCAAAATAATTTATTTTTTTAATTATTATTAATTTGTTAACACTAGATAATAAATACAATCCTGTACTTAAATTTTTTTAAATCTATTAACACGAGGAGATAAGCATACCAATTTTATCTC